GCATTTCGTAATCTACAAAATATATTTAAAAAATACCATTAGTCTGAAAGTATAAATTATGTACAAAATATCTGTGATTGGAATGATAAAATTATGTACAAAATATTTATACTTACCTGACTTATATCAGAGGGTATTCCCCCCCCCCCAGACGAGGCTCTGCCGAACGAGAGAGTCTCGTTTCGGGAAACTGACTCCGTTTTTACGTGGTCTCTAGGGAATTTTTGCCCGAGCCTACGGGCACGGATACCCCACTTAAACACGGCCTTGTGCCACATCTTGCTGCGTGGGGCAGCGGGTAAATAATTATGTACAAAATATTTAGATTTTGGCATTAAATAACCCATAGAGGTGTTCATATGCCGCTAAACAAAAGCAACCAATTTGTCTAGATAATAGATGGGAAATCATTAATCTCATTGAATCACATAAAAGATAAAGGGTCCTCGCAAAGTGATGACCCTAATCCTCTAATCTCTATTTTGACAATGTCAAAATAATCCTTTTTTTTTTCTTTTTTTTTTTTTTTTTTTTTTGTTGACGATCACTGAGTCGTTTACGGTCAATCTAGAAACAATAAATTTCTGCTTCTCACCATTTAACTGATTCACGCTCTTGCTTAATACTTAAAACTATATTTTAATCCGATTTTGTGTATATAATTCGACAACTCGGAAATGTAAAACATTTAGACAAATATTAATTCAGGCTTTCTCTACGCCCTATTCTCCCGTTCAAAATCTTGAAAAATGTTTCAACACTGGCATGTCATGATCAGTGAGAGAAAATAGTGATTTGGTATAACCATTATTATACACATGTATATACGGATTATGATTTTATCATTTTAGTTCTTCTATAACGTTTCGACCGTTGCACTCTCAAACAATATTCAGGTATCTATTGTCTTACTGGATAGTCTTGTTCACATTTTGAACCCAGAACCATTTAGCCAAGCCACTTAGGTAGAGTGTTCTCATTTTTGCTTTCCATGAGTAAGGGAGATAAATCGTATCCATAAGCTATTTTGTCGCTTGTCCATTTCTTCCACTGAATTAAAGCATGGTTTTTGTACTACCCGACCTAGTAATCGAACCCACAGCTGGGAACTAAATATATTGGAATGAATTCTTTTATTCTTGGACAATCCAGTGATGGAATGTTTAAGCGTCATTTCTTTCAAAACCAGAGGCTCCTCGATATTTATTTCCCCTTTTCTGTCCATCTGCGGGGGTGTTAATGATTACACTTTTCCCTCCATCATACCTGATTTCAATGCTACTCTATGGCGTTCTTCTATTTAGAGAGCGGCTGATCTCACCCCGGTATTCTTTGTCGTACAAAATTTATACACTTTGGTTCAGTGGAAGAAACTGACAAGCGATACAAAAGCTATACAAGCTAAAAGAATTTCCCCTCATCAGGATGGAGATCTACTCCAATAAGGGGTCCAGTCCAAAATTCCAACAAAGTTACCAGGTACGAGAACATCTACCTGAAGATGGTCGGAGGGTACGATGGTCAAAACTTTAACCCTAACCCTAACCCTATCAAAGATCAGGATATTAGTTCGAATGTAAAGCATATGATAATGTTAATTTGTCATCTCCAAAATTCGAATTTAAATTTGTTAAACCACATTCCTAACTATTTCCCACAAACTAGTAAAAGAGTGCCGTGCTTCATTTAAATGAATGTAGATTTGCTCATCTTTGATTCAAAATAAGAATCTACCAACATGGATGTTCAATCATTTTGACAATTGGAAACTTAACGAAAACCTCAAGTCCACCATATACCTTTTTACTTGCACAATTTTTCAGCCCCGATAAGATGACCAGAGACTATATTATTATTTGAGTTAAGCAATGTATGAAGGAGTGCTGAAAAGTTTCTTGGCACAAACCAATTTCTCGGTCGGGCCAAGAATCTTTGTATAATGATGGCACAGTCTATGAAGGGAGACTTGGGAAACTCGGGTGGTGTAATGGTTAACAAGCTTGACTCGCTAGAACAATTACAACTGAGTAATTTTGATCCTCACTGGGTGCCCCCTACTTTCAGTCTTGTGCCACATCTAAGCTACGCTTGGAAAATCCCTATGAAAGGGGGCTTCTTTATCAAATGTTCTTTAAAATATTCGATTCAATTCAAGTCATGAGATAAATATAAAACAATATTCAAAAGAAATGAATTCCCTGTAAGACGCAAACTAATGTTTGAGAAAACAATTCACCAGATTATTTCACTTCCAAAAAGAGGTTAGCTATAAGAGTGGGCGCTCGTTATGGAATTTCTAAAATCAACGATACTCTTGAGTTATATCGTTAACAAAAATTCATTTTGAGTACAAACAATTCAATATTGAAAAAATCCTTATTATAAGTACAATTCTGGTTGCCCTTATACGTGAAAAGTGAAATTTCTCATAAAATAACTCCTTAATTTTAACTCTCCATAAAACAAATACAAAAATGTTGAGTTTTAAGTGTTTATTAAGCTTCTTCTCGCCCAAGTCGTATTCGTCTGCGGAACAAAACTACTAACCGTTGCACTATCAAGAATATGTTCTGGAATTTACATATTGATTGATTCTACTAAACTTTCCTGATGACATTCGGTAAGAAACAAACTCGTATCAATGCGCTCTAAGACAGCAGCAATATATTAGCACCCCCAAGGTCAAGTCAGAGAGAATTGCGCTAGGGACAGGAAGAATTTCTTATAATAACTTCCCAAACTGCTAGTGTTGAAAAGCAGAATTCGAAATCATGGCTTTTATCTCGATGCCATTGAGAAGTAAGCAACGATTTTGATCCGACCAAGCAGATCCGGTGACATGATTATTACAATCTTTATTCAAATTTTTAATTAGTCTTCGTTTTAATGCATTATGGAGATTGTAGATTTATTAATTATAAGCCAGCATTTCAGCTATTCAACAAAAATAAAATAAATAAAATCTCACTAGATGAGATTTTTTTTCAATTGCTGATTATTAACGATAGCAAACATAAGACTAGGCTAATTGAATTAAAAGTAAGTATAATTGAACTATAAATGACAATCGGCTTAGAAGTAGAATAAATATTATTAATCACACTTTATTTTATATATTTTAGGACGATTAAGGATTTTTACTTTTCATTTATTCATCTGAGATTTTATTAAATATTGCATAGTAATTTCAATATCCGACTTTTTTCACGTCGGAGTCATGTGAGGATTTTTTTTTAACAAGGCCTGTTTTTCTACAAAATCTTAAAATACATTGTGAATAGTGATTTTTTTTTTTTAACTATTAAGAACTTTCAAGTATATCCAGCCATCCTGAGCAAAACCATCATCTTCGGATAGTTTAAGTTTGACTATTCCTTTGTTTTTAGAACAAAAGGACGTTAGCTTCTTTAAATTCTTGAAAAATAAGAAAGTTAACAATAAAGAAAATCAAGAAACTACTTTACCAACTTCTGTATTACAATGACTACAGCTTAATCTAGTACTCCGTCTTTCTGCCTTTCAAAATCGCTATTTAAAACCCTGGCTTTTACTGGAATTCTCACACTGAAACCCTTATTGTTAATTGGAAGTATACAGCTACGCCGACTACTAAACGCGCCTTTAGAATTTTGTTTCTGTCTAATAGTTTTCCACATTAATCATAACCTTTTGGTAAACTTACTAATATGGTGTTGGGAGAGAGGATGTTGATAAAAAGTTTCTATCTAATGGCACTATCTCCCAAAAGTGCGCATTTTTTAACTTAGCGGTTACCCCCTAGCAAATAAAAACTTTAGTCTATTTTAAGGATACGTAACTCCACAATTTAAATCAAGAGTCCTTAAAATTCCCTTAAAATTTTTAATGGCTTAAAATTCAAATATTATGTAATAATAATCTATCCGCGCGAATTTCATTCAAAATTGTTGAATCATTTGCGAAGGCAAATGACTGTTGAAATTTCTAGGGTACGTAACCAGGAAAGACAGCTTTTTTAATCACTGTACTTATCGAAAGAAAAGAGTGACAGAGTAAATCAGCGCATAAAATAACCTACCGGGCTTGTGAAAATGGATGACAAAACAGAGTTTAGGAGCTATAACAAAAATCCAACATTTACTAAGAACTATAAAGGACAGGAAATTGCGATGATTGTCAACTTCCTGAACAGACACGTTACATAGAAGAAATAGCACTAATCAGTGAGCCAAAGTAGAACATGTTCCAAGGATACGAGTTCAAATCTCACTAGCGGCTTCCAGCAATACTGCTTACATAGCTATCTAGGGGGAGGGGTGGTGAAAATGGTAAAAAGAATTAATTTGGAAGGAATACCAGTCATCCATCGATAATAATCGCAATTTTTAATGTCAGAAAAACTCTGAAAGGTATTCTTAAAATTCCTTTCAGACCAATCAACCAAATCGTTCTATCAGAAAATTTAATTTATCGCATTTGAAATATTTGTTTCTATTTGCATGACAACTCTTTTGACGAGCTATGTTGCCTAGATCCACCAGCCTTTGATCTTCACAGCCAAAACCCGCCATGTACGCTGCTATGTGCACTGGAACGAATCATCCCTTGTGTAGTGTTGACCCGGTATCTTTCTGACCTATCCTCTTAAACGGCACTTTTTACCTGCTTTTCTTACGTACACAGACCTCAATGAATAACCCTCTACCTTGAGTGGCCCATAGGCCTTGTATTGAGTGAAAAATTAGTAAAAAAAAAAAACTAGTTAAAGAATGAGTTATGTGTGTGCGCGCGTATCAGTATAAATATAATTATATAAGGTGTTTATTTACGGGGTATCGAAAAGCATCGGTGCACAATCTGTCTGGCGACTGATCATCGCAAAAGTGAAAAATCAAAAACGAGTATTTTGTTCTACAGTGGAGATAACTGATTATTTGCTACAGGTTCAAGTACTCGTAACGACATTGTCACTCTTCTCTGTGGCTAAATCAGCTGTTGAAATTTTCATCATAACAAAACAGAAAAAATCATTTATCTGATTGTGATTTCTTTCTTTCTTTCTTCCTTCTTCTCTTCCTGCTTCTTCTTTTTCTTTTTCTTCTCTTTCTCCTACTTCTTTTTCTCCTCCTTCTTCTCTTTCCCATTTTTCTTCTCTTTCTCCTTCTTCTTCTCTTTCCCCTTTTTCTTCTCTTTCTCCTTCTTCTTCTCTTTCCCCCTTTTCTTCTCTTTCTCCTTCTTCCCCTCCTGCCAGCGTAAGTGACACTTGTTGGAAGATGCAGACAAGTTCCAATATGTCTGATCTTCAATTGATTCCACTTCATCTAAATCTTGTCATCACCGTGAAAAGATCCTCACGTCCCTTTACATAACTGCTGGAATTCTGCACAGAATAACATTGGAGAATTTAAATTATAACTGATATGAAAATACATGAACTAATTATTTACTGATTAAAAATGCAATTTTCCTTGATTATTAATAATGGTAGTAATTACCCTGGCCTCTCCACTGGGACGGGATGAGACACAATCTTGGGTTTAATGTGGAGAACCCGAGCGCGTACACACGGGCCAAGAACAAAATGACTGCAGTTGCTATAAATTTCGATCATTCTTTTTTATTTCACCTTTCCAGAGCACAAATAATCTTCACTTATTGAATAACTATTCCAAACAGACAAAATAGGACATTAATGGCCATGTGAACTTAAATGAATTTAATCTTTGTGTAAAATTCCAAGGCTTTCCTAAAATAAATAAAATGAAAAAAGAAATAAAAAGAAAAATCCCTGAAACTTGAATTCTTAGTTGGTTGGTCGTTTTTTTTTTATCAACACCTCTATGGCTTATTTAACACCAAAATCTAAATATTTTGTACGCAATTTTATCTTTTATAGGAAATAATAATGGTTTTGGAATTGGAACTCGGCTCTCTGGTTAACAATTCCGAGCCGTTATCCATTACACCATCCGCACATCCAAGCTTACAACACTTGGTATTCCCAAGCGGTCATTAATCTCGGTAATGACCAGGCCCGACATTGCTTAACTTCGGTGTTTCAACGTGATATGGTCTTAAGCAAAACTCCTGATTGGAATCTTATACTGCTGTTCCAGTTTTGTCGTGTTTTTAGGAAGAAAGCAAAAACATTGTCGTGTATGCCAAATTTATTTCGATGAAAGTATTAAAAATCTAAAAACTGCTTCTATACTTAGCCAACCCGAGAACAAAATACAATCACATGTAGGAAGTTTTATTAGCACGAATATTTCAGTCGACTTATGAAATAGAAGTGCTGAAAACTTTTTCTCTCCTTTTGACTTTCTCTATACGAATCTCCCGTATTAAAAAATAAAAATAAACTACCTTGACTCAACGTTTGCAAAAGAAAAAAATGTCATTCAATCATGGAGCCCGCCCACAAAACCTCTGATGTTGAACCTTAACAATAAAACGAATAAATTAAGAGAAAAGAAACTTTCAGGGAAGGGGATTTGTCTTTTACACGTTCGTTGATGACGAACTCCTGCTCTAGACACAAACGCCAGCCGAATGAAATTGCTATTGTGTGAGGCTATTTGTACTCGATCAATGTCTGTCTGCATTTCCTCTCCAACAGGCCGATGCAGATGGCAAACTAGTAACGAAGTACCATTTTTGTACCAGTAAACAACTAGAAAATAAAGGTCCGACACTTCACATTCAATTCCATACCAGCTAAGCTTATTCCAAAATTTTCCATAGCATTTAATGAACTATAACCCAAAAGGTTACTCATCTCGGTACTAATCAGAGTCGAAGGTGAATATATTCGGCGGCGATGAAAAATGATTTTTAACCAAATTACAAGTGAGATAAAAACGAACAAGATAATAAACCGAGAAAAATAAATTCAAACGATTTTTCAATGTTTCCAAGTTTACAGTAATTGTTGTTGCTTCTTATGTTGTTGTTAGTCTCATAAACAGTAGCAACAAAAAGTGGAAGAAGTTTTAAAACTTTTAAATGACCATTTTGCTGAAATCATATTGAGATAAAAACAAAAAAGCTAGAAGATATAAGAACCCTCGCTCAATGGTCCGATCTGCCGATGGGCATACGGAGTTTTTAACGTTGTCGCGTGAGTTTTGCAGGGAGATACGCTTGTCCCTTTCCTTTTCATTCTGTGTCTAGATTACGCACTACGAACATTTAATGATTTAAACACAAATCTGGCGTTCACCCTTGAAAAAGCAAGAAGTTCACGTCACCCATAAAAAAACAGACGTAGATGGCCTTGCCTTGTTGTCAGACAAAATTGATAAAGGCTTCCCAAACTTCTGCATCTCATCGAAGAAGCGGCCAGCGAAATTGGTCTCTACATTAATGCTGGCAAAACAGAATTTATCAGCTACAACAAAGAAAGGAGAAATTAAGTTGAAAAACGGCAACAACTTCAAATCCGTCTAGTAATTTGTTTACTTCGGCAGCAACATCCAGTCAACCGAAAGAGACATCGAAATCCGCAAAGACAAGACCTGGGGTGGGGGTCCTTGATGTACTGAGCACCACCTGGAAGTCTTCCCTCTATGACCAACTTAAGAGGGATTTCTTTAAGGCTACGGTAGAATCTGTCTTGTTCTACAACATGGACACTGACGAAACACCAAGAAGCATCACTTTATGGAACATACACAACGATGTTACGAGTTGGAATGGACATCAGCTGGAAGAAACACCCAACAAAGAAACGTCTGTATGGACATCGCCCTCCTATCTCAGTTTCGCTAAGAGAGAGAAGACTTCGGCTAGCTAGTCCCTCCTGTGAACCTATGAGTGACACCCTCCTATGGAACCCATTACGCGGCAAAAGATCGACTGGAAGACTTCATCACACCTACATTGACCAACTTGTAGATGACTCTGGAGGACCTGCCGACAGCGATATCTGACAGAGATGATTGGAACGAACGAGTCAGGAGAATCCGGGAAGAATTCGCGACCTGATGATGAAGAAGAAAAAAACTAGATTTCGTATGACTGGATTAGCAATGATATTCCTGTACTATTTGTTGGTTTAGTTTTGCTTGGTGACGCTAATTCTAAACTATAAGTAAACGATTTCCAAGCATCAAAACGTCGATACTGCTAATCCGGTTGTATAAAGTTTGGTTTTGCTGTTCATCCAAATATGATACCAGTCATTAAACCAGTTTGGTACAACATCCTGGAAAGTTTAAATGATATATTCTGAAATAGTCTACGAATTAACCGTAGAATTGGATTATCTGTTGCCGGATCATCAACGATTAATATCAATGGGTTTTCTCATCGGCTGAGCAATAAATAAAACCTGATTTTGATGTGCCAAATGCTCCATTTATTTGAAACTTTTTCTACATGAATCTCTCTATAGAAATAAAAACAGGATCAAAATATAAATGATCACTGTAGTAGAATAGGTATGTACGACTTTGTCAAGAAGTGTACATAATGAAATCAATCATGCGTTAATTTTTTTTTTAATTCTTTTCGGTTGAACGCTTGACAACAAAAGAAATGTTGAATTATTCTTTCAATTCAACAAATCAAAAAAAAAATGTCGAATCTTCTCTTACAAACAGGCTGAAGTTCAAATCCTAGTTAAATATTAAAAAGTTGACTCCCTGCATTTTTTTTTTTCGTTCATCAAGTGGGTTAGTTTGTTTGAGCGATTACACATTGGTTCGCTTGACTGCATGCATCAACCAATAGGACCGTTATTACCAGTTTGGTGATATCGATTTGTCTTCTATTTCACCTGGTCACTCACTCTCTCTCTGTCTCTGTCTCTGTCTCTCTCTCTCTCTCTCAATAAACGTAATGCTTTTTTTTCTACTTTCAATGAATTGATGCACGAGGAGCTCTCAATTTAGACATGTCTGTGCGTCTGATATAACATATTAATAAATATCAGTAAAACGATTCTGAAAACTATTCTAATCAAAGGAAAAGAAATAATTGGGTAATTTTCCCCAGGGAATAAAGAATATTTATTGCATTTACTGTTCAGACGAAAACTGCTGGAAATAAGTTTGTGATGACAAACTCTACATTACAACCGAAAATACTTCCAGTCGTTTGAATAATACAAGTTTAATAACTCATTTTTATAAATAACATTCTTTCTCTATAGACATATGGCTAAAAACCAAAAAAGCTTAATTTGGTATAGGGCACTCAGTGAGGATTGAACCATCGTAGTTTACAAATCTCTCAAGGTTTAGCTTATTAGAATAGCTCAAGGCTAAGGTGAGTAGGTAAAGACACTGCATCAAGGTACCAATTAGAAGTGGCTTTGAAAATAAACATTGAATATGTTGATTTTTTTTTTTTTTTTTTTGCTTGGTCTTAAACACAAAAATTTCACAGCATTACGAAATTTAAAACTATAATAGCTACCAGGCCGACATTCAGACATTCGATTAGTTTAGTCTGACACAAGAAAATAGTTGAAAAAGACGATTGTGCTGCGTTATTTATCGACGTGGGGCGGCTATATTGGCTTTCGAAATCTTAAACAGAACTAGAACTTTGATTAGTGTCATTTGCAGGAAAAGCCCACATCAGATACTAAAGAATCCCCACTTGGTTATTTATACATTGGCATGACATCTTTATTTACATTATTTACAAATGGAATATTGTCCCAATCTGTTATTATCCTAACGTTTCAGTCATTGTAACCTTCTGGCCTTCATCAGGTGCTTGTCGAGCTGAGTTACCTTCTGGGAATTTCGAACTGAACTTTTTATTTAACCGATTGTAAATTGTTCTCGTTCTGCTAACGATTATCTTGAGTTAAGTTCTTATTTTAGTTTTGGTCATTTAATCCATGCTTTGTTTCCTCTAAGTCGAAGTATAATCTCTGTTTGGCCCAGAGATTAAACTTACAATTACTATGTCACCAGATTCACGAACCAATAGACTATTGTACTTGATGAAAGTTGGAGGACAAAACAACCGAATCATTAGGATAAAAATAACAAAGATGAGGACAATCTTCCGTGTGTTAATAATTGAAATAATGATAACTGCTTATCCCAGAAATTCATACAGAAAATATCTGCATCTGTTGTGTTACTTAGAGAAAATATCCGGCCATCATTTATAATGATTCTTTAAAAAAAGTTATTTATTTACTTCGATTCATCTTGTATCTTCTATAAGTAAACCTGGCCTCCATTTTCCCAACTACTCAACCCAGAAAAATAAAATCATAAACTCGACATAA